TCTCATATAAAAATGTGCAGCTTCTAGTGTCTACAAAAGAAAGATTATTTTAATAAGCACAAAATAATATATAAAGAGAAACACAATCATTTTCTGCAAAAAATGATAATCATTATATTTTTGGAAGAATAACATATAAGAAGAAAAGTAGCCCTAACCGGTTTGGCTCAGTGGCTAGAGCATCAGCCTATGGACTCAAGGATCCCAGGTTCGATTCTGGTCAAGGGCATGTACCTTGGTTGTGGGCACATACCCAGTAGGGCATGCGCAGGAGGCAGCTGATCAATGTTTCTCTCTCATCTATGCTTTTAACACTCTATCCCTCTCCCTTCCTCTCTGAAAAAAAAATCAATAAAATATATTTTTAAAAAGAAGTAGGTAAAAATTACAAAGGATGGTCAAATAAATCTACATTAAAATGTTAAATAACATTATAACATGTTCAACTTTATAGAAAAGTAAATAGAAAAAAATAGTTTAAAGATTATCTATCTATCACATTGAGTAAAATACTCTAAAGAAATATGAGAGTCTAAAATCAATGCCTAGGTCTGAATATAATCACATGGGATCTCAGCCTTGTAGGAAGTTGTTTTCACAAACATCTTTTCTCATTTCCCCTTTCTCTGGAAATAAAATCTAAATACAATTGCATATTCTCTTTTTCCATTTCCTTCTTTCCTGCTAAAAACTCCTCTTCTGATCATTATTTCATCCTAGTGTTTATCCTTCCTTTTACCTTCATTCTCATTACAGACAGACTCTGAGGAAAGTGGCTAAAAATGCAATGTGTGGGGAGGGTTTGGTAACTTATAGGTATAATTTCTTTCTGGATAAAACTATTAAGTATTGATAAAATTAGATGGAAACCCTGGAATCTCTTTTCTGGGCTTCTCTATTCTTCAGGGATTATTATAATCTTGTCCTTACAATGGGAAAAACATCTTCCTGCTGTCTCTGTAACAAATGCAGCCCTTTTATCCTTCAAAAGTGTTCATTACATAGAAAGTGAATGCTGAGTAGACACTCTCTTCATATACTTGATGTGAAGAGAGACAAAAAAACAAAAAAAAACAAAAACAATTCAGTGTGTCACATTCTATATTTTTAAAAAGCCAAAATGTGTATTTAATAAACATTGGATTGGTTATTAAAAATGTATAGTTTTAATTATGACTCTCAACTTTGTTCATCTTTAATAAACATTTATCAGCCAAACAAATATTAACAGAACATTTATTTTTAAATTTACGGAATGATAAATACTAATACAATTGAAACTTCAAAATGAATTATACACTTCAGAAAATGTTTTTAAATATTATTTAATTTCTATTCTAAATGAAGAAAATATAAAATTTATAAAATTTGAGTAAAAAAATTCAAAACTGCCAGGTTTTGGAAATTTATGTGCACAACATTATTTTGCTTTATTTCTAGTCTCTAATTCTAGGTGATAGATTTATTTGGATAACTGTTTCTAACACAAAAATATAAAGTAAGGCCAAGTTTAATATTTTACTTAAATCACAAAGTAATTTAACAATAAATTTATTTTGAGAACTGCATTAATTAAAATAAATTTCTTTGACTAGTTTTCTAGACTTACAGACACAATCATTGTTACTAGATGTTTCACAGGGAGACTAAAGAGGTAAATTTTTCCTTCCCTATGTTTGGCTACAAATGACAAAATTAACAATGCAGAATTACAGAGAGATAATCAGTGATATAAAGCCAAAGAAAATGATGAGGAAAGAAAAGTTTGATTACTGGTAAGATCAGGTTTTGTTATTTCTTTTTCATTTCTTTATTAAAATGTCGAACACTTATTCATTGTCTTAATGATTACATTCTTGACAACTGGGAAGATTTCTACACGGTGCTAAACAAAAAGTACCATAAAGTTACAGAAAAGGCACAACATAAACCGTATTTCAAATGTGTCTGCTACCTTTCAAGGGAATAGATTACATACCATGCCTTAGGGCTACATAAATTAAATACCAGACACCTTCCATATATTCTCAGATGCTTTGACATGTGGTTATTACATCATCTGCCTTCAAGGTGGAAGCAGAGATGCTCTGGAGGAGCTCTGAATCATGTAATTAGGGGAGTCCTGGGCGACTTTGTGGGTCAGCAAGACAATATGAAGTGTCTCCTGCTCTCTAGAGATCAGAGGTCATGTGATGTTTTCATAATTTTAGCTAAAAAATGTCCTTGTCATTAGAACCATAGTTTATACTTTTCGTTCCATTGGCAAACAATGCACTAAAATATGTGAGAACATTTATCAAATTGAGCATGATCCTAGAGTGACCCCTTTTAAGGAAGCTTTCTTCAAGGCATTTATAACCAAGGTCATTACCAGATTACCCATGACTCAGGGTATCATATCAATATTGAACTTCTAGAAAATTCTGATGACTTGGGGGCAGAGGTTGAGTCCTCCATGTGCTCATTAAACAAAGCTACAGTGACCCCTCTAACTCCTCTCTCTGGCTGGCACACTACTGTGCCATTTCCCTCATCTTCCTCAGTGAGCTGCAGCAAATGCCACAGAGCGGGAGGGACAGATAAGCCAAGAATGAACCCTGGAAAAATAAGGCCTGATTCTTCCCTATATCAACATATTTTTCTCCTGTGGTTAAACTATAAAACTGCATGGGTGTCTGTGTCTCATGAGGTTTTACCCATACAGCTGCAAGGCAGAAGTTAAATAGAGAAAGACAATCTCCTTCCATCAGTTTCTTTCCACTAATACACACACACACACACACACACACACACACACACACTCACACACACACACATAGGCACCCACAAGCATGTGGGCATATACATGCTTAACTCCAGCCACATTCCTATTCTCCAGTAATTTTTCCTTTGCTTACTCCCACTTTATCCCCTTGGTCTTTCCTATGGAGAGGAAAAACTATCTGATGAACTAACCCCGAAAAAGGAGATCTAACATTGCCAAAAGCTATTTATATTTGCATTTTAAAAGAGTGTCTAAGGAGAGTTAAGTATTAATTTTTTTGTCAGATGCTAGCAAAAAATCCTGAATTATTATATGAGGCACTTCCTATATGAAAGACAGTGAGGATATAACAGAGAGCTACAGGGACCTACATGTTGCCCCCAGGATACTTTTTAGTCATATTTCAAAAATGCGATATGGAAATGTATCACAAATCTTCCACTACACCTGAGACAAAAACTTCAAAAGAGAGTGTTTACAGTACTATGGGGCTGAATCAGATAGAACTTGGAAACCTAGCCAAAAGTGTTAAGACTGGGATGAAATCTTTAACAAATCATAAAAGGTGAGTATTTAAAATGCTTATAGCTGGTGGACTTCAAAAAAAGTGTTTATGGTGAGGTTCAGTGTAAAGGAGGGATTTGAACCAAATTAGGTCAGGACCATACAGTACCTCTGTAGGGAAGGGGGCCCAGTGGATTGTTCACCCACACCAGGGCAGTTTTGAAAGAACAAAGGGTTCCTACTACTAACAACAGGCATAGTTGAGTTGGCCGTTACCAAGTAACTGGAGACGGATGGTCATCCCATCATACGCCATCTTTACTCGAAAAGCAATGAAAAGTCCCTGACATTCGTTAGCAGAAAGGAAAAAGCTTTGAGCTTGTTTGATTCTCTGCCTGAGCAGTGGAGGGGAATTGATAGGAGGGGGACTATTGTGGCAGTCACATAATGTATAATGGCTCTTGGATGAGAGTGAGGGTATTAAAACTGGTGGGAAGTAGTGGAAAGGAAGAAAAAAGTAACAAGGATACCTCTAGGCTTCTGTCTTATAACTGGATAGGTGATAATAACATTCATTTAAAAAGAAGACAGAAAAGAAACAGCTTTAGGCTGCGGTCAAGGGAAGGAAGAGGAGGTCTAGTTTCACTTACATCCATAGAATTTAGACTGTGTTCGAGAGAAGAAATCATGTAAAATGAGTTAAAAATAAAAAGTGTTTCACAGATGAGAGTCAGAGTGGGAGATATAAATATTTGAGTCATATGCATATCAATGGTAATTGAAGCATACCCACGGATATTGCCTAGAGAGAGTTTAAACTGAGGAAGATAGAAGAGAAAAGATGAAACCTTAAGGTTTGAAAATAGATGGCACAGGAGAATGAATCTGCAAAAGAGGCTGAAAAAAGAAGTTGCTTACATGGTACAGGACAACTAGGAGAGGATGATGCTTTGAAAGCCGAGGTAAGAAAGTAGCTGGGAGAGGAAACTATAGTGATGACAAATGACATAGGTCAAATAGGGCGAAGGCTGAAAATGATATTTGAGTTATTAAAATGGAGGGTTGGGGAAAGGATTTAGAAGGAGATTAGCCCAGGTAGAGTCCCACCTCCTTCATTTACTACCTGGTCCTAAAGTAAGCCATCTAAACTGTATTTGCGTTGGTTTTCTCATTTGTAAAATGGGAAAAGTGATAATCTTACTCAAAGGGCTATTTTGAAAAACACTTATCAAAGTGTGCTCTGTGGACAGGAGTGGATTCCAGGGACCCTTCAGAAGATTTGTGAGATCAAAACTACTTTCATAATAATATTAAGACCTTTTTTTAATTTTTTCATTGTGTTGATTTGCACAAGCCAAGGTAGTAGCCCTATGATAAATCTTCATTGTATTTTTCTCTACAATATACTTGAAGTTTCAGAAAAGTCAATTTCATTTAATAATGCTATCAAATGAAATGTAAGCAATATTAATTGTATTATTTTGATCTTTCATATTATAAAATGATATGTGTAAACACTGAAAAGACCCACATATCTCAGTGAACCAATAGTTTTCAAATGCATGATATTCCAAAATTCTACATGGATAAGGGTATCCATTCAATGTGCAAAATACCCCAGTGGATTCAAATGTAGCAGACTATGAAAAATGTATTGACATGATTTCAGACTCAACATTGAAATAACCTTTAGGTTATTAATATAGTCTTCCGTTTTTCTTTTTTTTTTCTTTTAAATATGGAACATTTCACTAATTTGCATGTCATCCTTGCACAGGTGCCATGTTAATATTCTCTGTATTGTTCCAATTTTAGTGTATGTGCAGCTGAAGTGAGCACCAATTTTTCAAATAGATATCTAAATGAGGCTAGAATTTTTCATATGCTTCATGGAAAAACATTACATCACAACAGATCGAATGCAAAAGAAAATATAGAGTTTAGCTGATTATATTAAATCAAGCATTAAAAAGTCTTGACAAATATAAAAAAAATGCTCCTCTTTTCACTATGTTGTGTTTGTGGTGAAAAATTGCTTAATTTTCATAAAAAATACATTAGGTTGCAATGACTTTATCATTGTTGCTAAACTAATTAATAAATAAATATTTAAACTGTTTCATTTTTAAATATGCAAAACATTAATAGGTAAAGTCTATAGCACTTTGCGATCTTTAATAAGAGTATAAATGGTCTCTGACAAAAAAGCATGAGGATTCCAGGTTTTGAGGATAAAAAAGGTAATTCATAATGTATGAGCTAATTTTTGTTACGTACTTAAAACACTGTCACAAAATTCTGTGTTTATAAATAGAGAGAGAAATTTATAAATGGATATATAGAAAAGTGGATGACAAATAGAGAAAGATAGAAAAGAGGGCACATCTGTAATATTTTCAACAATAAAGATAATTTTTTTAAAAAGGAGAGAGATATGAAAAAAAATAGAGGATTGGCAGATAGATAGAAAGGTAAGTAGAGAGATATACAATCATTGGCTAAACCAGTGGTCATTAAACTGTGGCTCACAAGCCGAGGTTTGCAGCTCTGTTGACTGAGTTAGCTGAACACTGGGCTAAACTAACAAAAGTGTTTTGGATTACATTGAAGATGGAATCTGGACTAATGTATACAGAAGAGAGATAGAAATATTTTGGAGATATAAGCATTACCTATAGGCAAAGTGATTTACTTCCCCTTCCAGAAGATGATCCTGTATGAAAATCCTGACATTTTACTATCATGGAGATGTGACCTGATGTCTTTTATGAGGAGAAACAGAAGGGGAAAACTCCATGAAAACAAAAACAAAAACAAAACAAAAAAACATGAAGGCTTCATAGAGTACTGTGATAGAGCAGAAACTTCAATGAAAATTCCTTATGATAGGTTAGTGCTTCAGAAAAGGAAAATACTGTGAAAAACATATAGACATTTCACTTTAAAATAAAGGCCCCTAATCCTGTCTTTTCTGTGAGAGAAATCTGCTTCTTCTCTTTATCCCAGCAGAGACCTTGAATGTGCCTGCTAATTATAGCTAAAGAGAAAGTCTCCTAGAAAACAAGCCTCTTTCTCATATTTTTGAGTTAAAGGTTGATCTGAATATCCATCTGTAGAGTCTAAAGAAATGTGAAAACCTGTGAAAAGATGGCTCATGATACATGAGAAATGCATTTATGGGGCAGTAGATTATATGTAAATTATTTATTTGGCAGCCTGCAATTTAACATCCTCAGGTCTTCAATGAGTAAGAGTGAGGAAAACGAAAAGGAGAATGGTCCTTTTTTAAATTTTTATTAAAAAAGAAATCATTAGTCCTTTGAGAATATGGTGAAAGCTATGGACACTCACCCAAGGAAAAAACGTATAGTTTTTTTAGCATACATTTTCAGAGGACTATCCTCCAGGCCTAAAGATCATCCATGTTCAGGTTAAATAAAATGGGAATATCAGGAGCAAAAATAACACTTCCTAGAACCATTCTTCATTAAGTTGCTCTAAATTTTAACACACCATAAGCAATCTCCTGCTTGCCTGGCATACAGATGAGGTTGGATATAAGAATAAAACTGTAGCTAGGGAAAGAAGCTCTTACGGGGACCAGCTCCCTCCCTTCACATAAGTAGAAATTAAATTCTAGAGATGTTAAAAATCTTGCTCAGAGTTACAAAATCAATCAGAGAACTAGCTGACCTTTCCAACACTCTAATAATCCCTCTCCCACAACCTCCTGAAGATAAAGAGTTGCATGTGCTCAACTTGTATAGAATGTTAGTGCCCCTACCCGGTTGGATTCCAAATTGGGAAACATACATTACCAAAATCAGAAGACTATGTAGTAAGTGAAGGGAGGTGCTTTATCTTTGGAAACTAAGAACACAACTATAGAGTAAAAGTTAGTGAAATACAACTTTAATCGATACACCTACACATTGTAGAAAACAACATATTAAAATACACCACACAGTGAGATACTTAATTGGGTTGGGTCAGTTATTCACAATTGTAATCATTCAATTACAAAATGCCCTTGTATCAGCCAAAGTCATGGAAGGAAAGAGCACACAAAAGGAGTGATGGAGAGTTTACCTAAAGGGATATTTACAAGTGTGTGGGTAGCGTTAAGGTAAACCAAGAAGGGATGGTGCAGAATAGCAGGGCTTGCCACATGGAGAGCCACTGTACCCTTTGGGCCTGAAGGCACAGACACTGTACAGGAATACGGTAGGGCTAGACCTGCTGAATCAATATCCCGGCCTCACCTTTCACCCTTCAGTCTCCTGTCAGTGCCTTACATGAAAACCCAGAAGTCAGAGGGCCTATTGATTCAGCTCAAAATGATAACCACCATGACAGGTCCCGATGGATAACTGGGGAAGATCTGGAAAATCTCTGGAACACATGGATGGCTCCTCAAGGTGTAGGAAACTCAGAGCCATTCCCTGAGGACACACCATGTTCTATGCATAAGGTCACATATTTCTAGATCTTATATCTCCAAAGGGAGTCCCTGAACAGAAGGGAGCAACTCACTCCCATATTCAGTATACACTAATGCAGATTTAGAAATCACCTGAAATTCGTAGGCTGTGGAAGGAATAGAACAACCTCCTGTACCTGGCAATCCTAGGAGATCAAAAAGTATTTCCTAAGGAGCTGCTGCCCACAGATAATGCTCAGCAATATAGTCTCCCAAGCGGTACCCTAGGAGGAAGAACTGAGCAAAGCAACTGATTGAGGAGAGAGGGGAAGAGTTTACCCCCAAGATTTTTACTCTCTACTTCGCACCAGAGGCCACCAGTGATTATTGATCAGTGAATATTTTTCAGCTAAGAATGCTAGAAGTTCAATATTAATAAGAGAGCTGAAACCAGTTTGGCTCAGTGGATAGAGCGTAGGCCTGTGGATGAAAGGTCCCAGGCTCAATTCTGGTCAAGGGCATGTATATTGGTTTTAGGCACATCCCCAGTAGGAGGTGTGCAGGAGGCAGATGTTTGATATTTCTCTCTCATTGATGTTTCTAGCTTTCTATCCTTCTCCCTTCCTCTCTGTGGAAAATCAATAAAATATATTGAAAATAAAAAAAGACTAATAAGGGAAAGCCTTTGGAATGATCTGACAGAACTAGAATACCTAGTTCTCACACTAGGCAAAAAGTTTGCCTAAAAAGTATCCAGCAGCCTAACGGTAGCCGATGATGCCGGGGATAAGAGATGCAATGCAAGGAGCAACCTGACTCTATGTTGGACTAAAACAACCTGAATCCCATAGGCCCTATGTGCATTGTGCACATCCATGTCCCTCCTAGCCCTTGCACATCCTTGGGGAACACAATCAATCAGAATAGGGATGTAATCCTTATCGTGAGAATATCTCCAGCAAGAGGACAGAGCCCTCCAAACGTCTCATCAGACACAGGGGGAAACTATTAGCCTGGTAGCGATTTGGTAACCTAAAATGCCCACGTGGCTACTGAAATCACCCTTCAGATTGTCAGCAGTAAGAGGAGCATGAAAGAGGTTTATATTTCCTTTTGCTTTGTAGTTCTGCTTTCAGTCAAAATAAATTTTGGTAGTCAACTGAAGCATAATCTCTCCTTGATTTTCCCACCTAAAATTTGAAAAACCTCAGTAAGTTGTGCAGACAGATGCTTAATGAAGCTTTACTTATAAAACAATATTTTTCTTCACAGGACTATGGACTCTGATACATTTCTTCTAATTGGAATCAAGTCTCCTGACCGGAGCTCCTCTGGTCTTCTCTAAGCCATATGCTCAGAGTACACGGGAGCAATCCACTCTGCCAGCCATGTCCTCATTATGCAAAATGTGTTATAGTTTGGACTGCATGGTTGACACGGATTATTCCAGTTTGGAAGAGATATGCCAACACATGTGTAAATATGTGAGGTGAAATTAAAGACTGGGAAAGTGAGCTGGAGGGTGGAGCTATTCAAACACTTGCATTTTCAAAACAAAGACTACTATTTTTCATTGTACAGTATTTGAGGTCAAATCAAATTTAGGCCCCTCTGTATCTGACTCCAGTGTGCATATTCTTTATACTTTGCACACTATTTATCCTTGACATGTCTAAGAGAGGGCCTGGAATAATATGTGTAATCACATTAGTGTGGTTAAATCTTCATTTCCACATGAATTCTTATTGCTTAGAAACTTGCTCTTTTATATTTCAATTTGCTTTGGATATTTCAGTTCATCAATAGTAGAGGGAATAATCTCTGACTCCAAAGTAAAAAATGGAGTCCAATTACTGGCCAAAAGTCAAAGCTGAATTTAAATCTGTAGGCTCCTTAGAATTTATTTGACTTTGACCTTTAGCTAATCCTTAGACTTCTGGTGCTAAGCAACAATAAGGATGACTGGCATCTTATTCTTATATTTAGCTATTTTATAAACATTTTGTAGCTGCTTCATCAGAAATTGCTTGCAAGTAAAGGAATATAAACAATAAAACCATAGCCAATTTTCTGGGTGAATTATTTCAAATGTTTAGAATGAGGGTATAATTTCATTTAGATTTTTTGTTTGGATTTATTCTCCAGTTTGGAAGCACAATAAAGAATACAGGCTATTAACAGCATAACCTGAAAATCTAAGTGGTTTACAATAAAGTTTATTTCTCTACATCCATTGCTGGTCAGCTCCTGCTCTGCTCTACAGTATTCACTTCAGGACTTGGCCTCTCTTTAAGGCTTTTCTGCTTTTTGTTCCAGGAAAAAGTGAGAGATGGGCAACTCACATGCTTGTTCTTAAAACATTCGATGAGTCACGACATCTAATCATCATAAACCTATCACATACCAATGCCCGAATTCA